GATACAGACCAGAGGCGGGCAGAAGGGATTAGATTAATATGGCGTCATGTGCAGCACAACATCATGGGCCGAAGGGCCTGTTTCCTGTGCTGTACTGTTCTATGTTATATACATCCTGTCACCATTGCCATCGGTCCCCGACAGCTACATCACTGCACCTCCAGCAAAGAGTTATTGGGCAGCAATGAAGATGTGGACTGTTTTTCCCTTCACCAAACAGGGAATAAGAGTGTAATGTAAGCCTCTTCTGATACATGTTGTTAACTCTCCAGGATTTTCCAAGAGCATGCCAGGTCATCACTAGGAGAAAACCAGGTAAAGAAAAACTCTGGCCCATTAAACACAGCAGTCAGAGGAATTCATCTTCCACATTTCCCTGGAAATTCTATTCTATTAGTGAAAAGGATATTGCAGATGGGGAGGGGAAAGGTTTGATGCAGTGGGAAAAGCAGAGGTGGAAGGTCACATGGTAAAATCCCTACAAATACAACTAAGTGGAGTTTGCAATCCCACTTCCGACCAGTTAAAGAGTCAGAGGTAAGTTGAACACAGTAGTCTCGTGCGCAAGTCCTTGCAGTTGCAGAAGACCATTGGGTTACTACTGCATTTGAGAGAGAGAGAGAGACAGAGATGACTAATGAAAGTTTAACCTGAGGGCCACCATGCCCCAAGTGGAGGGAAGAGAGGGGTTGAGAAGGTAGGAATTGAACCTGTGCTATGGTGTTTGGCTGTGTTGTAAGCCAGCTGTGCAGCCAACCAACCCTCTGTGCTCGAAGGACAGGACGTTGTCTGCATTCAACGTTGAACTCATAAACCCATCCCTTAAGAACAATGGATGTGAAAGCAAGTGGGGAGTGCTGTTTTACACATGAACTTTGCATCTCTCTCCTGCCATACTTAACCTGGGAATACGATATACAAATATGAATGCCTGGGGCGAACGCATTGAGAAAGTGTTCCGTGCCCTTCAGCTCAAGTAAAATTCAGAATAAAGTTGGATGCTTGTTGTTGTAAATGTAAGACTTCCTGAAAGAGATAATAGCTTATGTGTTTGATTTTATCTGGTAACATGCAAATAGAGTGAAACCATGCAAACGAAAATATAACTTAGTTTCTGTTCTGCATTTCATTAGAAGCCAGTAGTGCTTCTGAATTATAATATGCTGGCCAACAACATGCATTGATATAGCACCCACATATCCCACAGTGCTTCAGAAGTGACCAACGTTGACACCAAACCAAAGGAGACATTGGAATGGCTGATCGAGAGGAGATATTAAGGAGAGTATTAAAGAAGGAAAGAGAGCTTTACAGTTTACTGGGACAACAAGGTGCAGAGCTGGATGAACACAGCGGGCCAAGCAGCATCATAGGAGCAGAGAGGCTGATGTTTCGGGCCTAGACCCTTCATCAGATTTACTGAATGGTATTCTAGAGCTGATGGGGCTCCACCAAGAAACTCAAAGAGCAACATCCTGCATTATAAGAAATAAGTCTGTCTTGCACTCTATGCAATGTTAAGTATGGACTGTTTCGTAATATATTTTTATACATTCTATGAATGAGATACATTTTTGAAAAAAAAAACCTCAATGCAAAGCTGCCAATGCTGGAAAGACAGAAGTGGATAAAAATAAGGTTTCTGAAAGATTGTAGGAATAGACAAGGTTACAGGAGGATCTGGGCCATTTGAATGGTTTGAACGTAGGAATGAAAATAAAGTGGAATTGTTCAGGAACCTTTAATTTTCATCAACATGCCTGAGAAGCTAATTGAGAGTATCAAGGAGTAAGCTCCAAAGCTAATGGAAATATGCTTAGACAGGTAAGAAGTTGAACAAAATACTTCTGAAATCTGATATTTGGCCAGATGGTCAGGACTCTGTTGGGTTCACACATCATAATTAGTAGCAACTTTAGGGCTTGAGGCACCTTCTTCCATGTCCTTATCCCAATACCTCCACACTAGGCCTTGTTATCTCATGGTCTGCTATCACACACAACCCATTGTTAGCCACTAACAGTCCCCATTAGTAGCTATTCATTCTCTCAGGCTGATTGTTATCCACTTCTTTGTCTGTTCAACTGTTCTTCTATCTCTTTGGGCTCTATCCCCACCTATTGTTTACTCCTTAGCACCTGCCCCCTACCCTATCTTCTGCATAAAAGCCAACTTTTTCCTAGCTACCATCAGTTCTGAGGAAGGGTCACTGGAGCCAAAACGTTAACTCTGACTTTTCTTCACAGATGCTGCCAGACCTGCTGAGCTTTTCCAGCAATTTCTGCTTTTGTTCCTGATTTCCAGCATACTTTCAGTTTTTTAATTAGTAAGCTTGCTGATACTGAGAAGGGCAGATCCTCATTAAAAATATAGGGTTGAGATTGCAGGGAATAAAATTAGGAGAGAGGTAGAAGAGAAACTGGTGGAGTTTCAACTTGCATCTCCCATTGTAAGACAAACTCTGTGGGTTAATAGCTTGCTACGGAAAACTGCCTGATCATCACTATCATTGACTTCAATGGTTTGTTTGACTGCAAACCATTCTGCAACATCAATTTTACAGTTTAGCCTAAAATATTGTACATAAAATTAATAAAACATTTTTACTATACGATTCCTATTACCTACAATATCCACATTTATCATAAATTGGTAGACAGATGCAACAAGTGATTAGGAAACCTCATGGAATGTCAGCATTTATGGCAAGGATGCTGCATTAATGACCTTTCCTCCATCATAAGGTCAGAAGTGGGGATGTTTGCCTATGATTGCACAATGTTCAGCACCATTCGTGACTCCTCAGGTACTGAAGCTCCTCATATACTGAAGCAGTCTGTGTTCAAATGCAACAAGATCTGGACAATATCCAGGCTTGGGCTGACAAGTGGCAAGTGCCATTCGCGCCACACAAATGCCAGGCTATGACCATCACCAATAAGAGACAATCTAGCCACCGTCCCTTGACATTCAATAGTGTCAAAATCCTAGGAGTTACCATTGACCAGAAACTCAACTGGAGTCACCACATAAAACACAGTGGGTACAAGAGTAAGTCAGAGGCTAGGAATACTGCGATGAGTAACTCACCTCCTGACTCCCCAAAGCCTGTCCACCATCTACAAGGCACAAGTCAGGAGTGTGATGGAATACTCCCCACTTGCCTGGATGAGTGCAGCCCCAACAACACTCAAAATACTTGACACTATCCAGGACAAAGCAGCCCGTTTGATTGGCATCACATCCACAAGCATCCATTCCCTCCAGTACTGACGCTCAGTAGCAGCAGTGTGTACTATCTACAAGATGCACTGCAGAAATTCACCAAAGATGTTCCAACAGCACCTTCCAAATCCACAATCATTTCCATCTGGAAGGACAAGGGCAGCACAAACATCGGAACACCACCCCCTGCAATTTCCCCTCTGAGCCTCTCACCATCCTGACATGGAAATATATCACCGCTCCTTCAGTGGAGGAGTGGGTCAAAATCCTGGAATTCCTTCCCTAAGGACATTGTGGGTCAACGTGGGCTGCAGCTGTTCAAGAAGGCAGCTCACCCCCCTTTTCTCAAGCTGGCACCTAGAGATGGGCAATAAATGTAGGCCTAGCCAGAAACACCCATGTCCCACGAGTGAATTAAAAAAGGGGTCTAAATGTAAGGATGTTTTGTCACAGTTGATGTGACCACATCTAGAGTACTCTTTCCAGTTTCAGACTCCTTATTTAAGAAAAGGCATAACTGCATTAGAAGCCGTTCTGAGGAAGTTCACTCAACAGAGGGTCTGTTTCCATGAACAGGTACCTGGGCAAGGTGTATCTTTTGAGGAAAGGGTGGACAGGTTGGACCTGTATCTATTGGAGTTCAGAAGAATAAGGGCAACCTTCTACTCAACTTCACTCCTTGCCCTCAAGTTAAACTCAACACTTACGTCTCTCTCTCTCTCTCTCTCGCTCGCAATCTCTCTCTCGCTGTCTCTCTCTCTTTCTCCCTCTAATGGGAGAGCAGTCCTATGGTCTTCTGGGATTATGCGACAATACTGATAATATGCTGCTGAGAAAACTTAATTGGTTGGATACTGAGAGGATCCATCTGCAAGAGAGTAGAACTGTAGGGCACAGTTTCAAAGGGTCTCCGATCTAAGATCAAAATGGTTTCTTTCTCTCAGAAGATCATGAGCCTCTGCAACTCTCTTCCCCAAAGAGCAGTGGAGGCTGGACCACTGACAGATTTCAACCCAGGGCTTCCTGGCTGACTGAGTAGTCAAGGGGCACTGGGGGGGGGTATGTTCAGATCTGTCCTAATCTTACTGGATGTCAGAGCAGGCCAAATGGCCTACTGCAGCTCCTGATTTTCCGTCTAGATCTGGTCAATAATATGAAAAGTTTCGCTTTACCATGAGAGTCAGGCATTACCTATTAAGAGTTCTGAATATATTGAGCAGTTCAGTTATTGCTAAGGCTGCAATGGCCAGTTTTGATTAACATTTCCTAACTAACCTGTGCAGAGGTGTTATTATAAGTGGCTGGGGACTGTATTCAACCCAATGAGTATAAATGTCATTCCTGAAGTTAAGCAATGGAACAACAGCTGGGTTTACAAGGAGGGAGGCTTAGCATTGGATTCATTGGAGCAGAGAACGGATTGCCAAAAACCCGTAAAGGAAGATTTATTCCAGTGGAAGGCAAATCAGGAGCAAAAGCATTTTAAAAAGTATTCTTTTCCACATGGAGTTAAGGGAATTTGTGCTACAATAACAGCAGTTTGCATTTTTATGGCCTTTCTATTTAGAACCACAATCACTAGGTGCATTTTTCCTCCAGCCATTAATTGAGACCAAAACATTTAAGACAGAACTGGAAAAATATCTGAGAAAACAGCATTCAAATTCATGAAGAGGAAAGTAGAGATGTAGGTTTGGAGTCGAACCTTCGGATGCAAGGTGTGATAATATGACTGATCATTTCTTCTGATGAAGGAAGTCGTCCCCAGGGCTTACCTTGACACGTACATTCTGGAAAGAAGCAGGACTGACAAGTGAAAAGCAGATCACAAAAACATCCTGGAAAAGAACAAAGTCCAATGATTAGCTAAGTGGTCCTCTGTCGCACTTTTCCATTCTGCTATCTTTATGTCAAAATATAGAACAGCACAGCACAGGAACAGGCCCTTCTGTCCATAATGTTGTGCTGAACATGATGCCAAATTAAACTAATCCCTTCTGCCTGTCCTCGGTCCATATCTCTCTATTCCTTGCATATTCATGTACTTATCTAAAAGTCCCTTAAACGCCCCTATCGTATCTGCCTCCACCACCACCCCCTGACAGCATATTCCAGACTCCCACCACTCTCTGTGTAAAAAAACTTGACCCTCACATCTCCTTTGAACTTTCCTCCTCTCACCTTAAATGCATGCCCCCCACCGCAACACTACCCCCCACCGCCCCCCCAACCCCTAGTGTTACACATTGCAACTCTGGGGAAAAAAAATGTTCTGACTGTCAACCCTCTCTGTGCATCTCATAGTTTTATAGACTTCCATCAAGTCTTCCCTCAACCTCGAAAGCTCCAGAGAAAACAACCCGAGTTTTTCTAGCCTCTTGTTATATCTCATAGCCTCTAATCCAGGTAGCATCCAGGTAAACCTCTTCTGCACCTTCTCCAAAGCCAAATATAATTATGATTTCCACTCCAGCGGTAAGTGGTATTTGTGCATCAAAATTCCAAAATGTGTTGACTATGATTTCCACCATTTCAATAATGCTGGGCCTTGCCACCAATGCTCACAATATGACTGATCATTTCTTCTGATGAAGGAAGTAGCCCCCAGAACTTACCTTGGCACCATCCAGGACAAAGCAGCCCGCTTGATTGGCACCACATCCACAAACATTCACTCCCTCCACCACCGACGCTCAGTCGCAGCAGTGTGTACTATCTACAAGATGCACTGCAGAAATTCACCAAAGATCCTCAGACAGTACCTTCCAAACCCTTGCCCTTCCATCTGGAAGGACAAGGACTAGTTCCCCTTCCAAGCCATTCACCATCCTGACTTGGAAATATATCGTCATTCCTTCACTGTCGCTGGGTCAAAATCCTGGAATTCCCTCCCTAATGGCATCGTGGGTCAACCCATAGCAGGAGAAATGCAGCGGTTCAAGAAGACCGCTCACCACCACCTTCTCAAGGGGCAACTAGGGACAGGGCAATAAATGCTGGGCCCAGCCAGTGACGCCCACATCCCATGAAATGAATAGAAAAAAAATTCCTGCCAAATGATTTTTATGAAATATAATGGGTACTCGCCTCAGCTGCAAGCACTTCCAAAGTTCACCGAGCCTACACTGAAACATTGGATTATAGTGGAGGGAGGGTCTGTGCTGTTGGAATCACACATTTCACTGCTTTTTGTTCGATCACAGCTGGGATCCAAGATAGCTGGTTAGCCTGGACAGTGCAGGGCATCGCCAGATCCGGGTATCCTCTAGTCTATTGTTGATCGTGGCTTACTTCATATTTTTGCTTCATTTATTCACAGGATGTGGGCATCACTGGCTAGGCTATCATTTATCACCCAGAGGGCAGTTAAGGGTCAGCCACATTGTTGTGCAGTCTGGAGTCACACACTAGCTAAGGATGCAGTTTCCTTCCCTAAAGGGAACCAGCTGGAATTTCCCACCCCTCAATAACTGCCAACAGTTTCATGATCTTTATTAGACTCCGAAGCGCAGACTTCCAATGGATTCAAATTCCCTCCATCTGCCCAGAGCCCAGATCCCCAGAACATTACCTGGATCATAGGGGTAATACCACTAAGGCCATCATATCCCCAATCACGAGTAGGCAAGGCAAGAAGCTAGACACCCCAGACCCACCTTATGTATGGGGATCAATCCCATGCTGTTGGCATTGCACTTATCGAATGAGCTAATAGTACCCCCTGCTTTCTTGGAAAAAGACAGTGACAGTAAAAATATCCTTACGGTTTGAGGGTAGGAGAGAGGTCGGAGCTTGTCATAGTCTTCCTGACCGGCTGTGTCCCACAATCCCAGGTTCACAGCACGACCGTCAACGGTCACAGAGGTCGAGTAGTTGTCAAAGCTGTTGAGGAAGATGGTAAGAAGATGTCAGGCCAAAACAAGACAAGGTTAATTTGGCATAACTAGGTGTAGAGCTGGATGAACACAGCAGGCCAGGTAGCATTAGAGTTATATCAGACTCGAGCATCGGCAGTTCCTACTATCTCTCAAGGTTAATTTGGCCTCAGCCTCTCCATGTCAATAGCACAGTGCTGGGTTTTAATGTGGGTGTCGGTCTTGGATCAATGTGTAGCACTCACACCTCTGAGTCAGAAGGTCATGGGTTAAAGCCCCACACGAGGGATGCGAAGGAGCACCACATCTGGCCGAACACCCAGGGCAGTACCAATGGGACTCCTGGACTCTAGGAGGTGCTGTTTTTTAAATACGTCACTAAATCCAGCGCTCATCGTGTCTGGCCTCTCAGCTGGATACAAATGTTTCAATGGCACATCTTTCAAGAAGAAGACCTGTCCCTGGTTTTCTGACTAATATTTATCCCTAGGCCAAATCCACAATAAACAGCAGTCATCATTCAACAGTTGTGTGTGGGATCTTGCTGCAAGCTGGCTGCTATGTTTCCTACCCTACATCAGTCGACTATGCTTGTACTTTATTGACTGTAAAGTGCTTTGGGATATCTTAAAGTTGTGAAAGGTGCTATATAAATGCACATCCTTTCCCTTTCTATAATGGAAGCATCTCCTGTACTTACTTGGAAAGTGAACTGAGTGTAGGTGGTGACTGATGAGTGAACCAGGCTGTCACAGGGGAGCGTGGTTAGCACACAGTGTTCACAGTGCTCAGTGGTTAGCACCGCTGTCTCACAGCTCCAGGATCTGGGTTCAATTCCACCCTCAGGCGACTGTCTGTGTGGAGTTTGCACATTCTCCCCGTGTCTGCGTGGGTTTCCTCCAGGTGCTTCGGTTTCCTCCCACAGTCCAAAGATGTGCAGACTGGGTGGATTGACCATGCTATATTGCCCGTAGTGTTCAGGGATGTGTAGATTAGGTGGGTTACAGGGGGATGGGTCTGGGCAGGATGCTCCAAGGGTTGGTGTGGACTTGTTGGGCTGAAGGGCCTGTTTTCACACTGTAGGGATTCTATGAAACCATTTCTGGGTCAAAGTCCCTCTTCCTTCACAAAATTTATTTCAATGTGTGTCAGCAGCTTGTATGAGTTTGTATTAGTGAGATGGACATTTTTACAGAGACTTTGAGGAGCACTCATTATCAGGTCTCACTCCTTCAGAATCCCTAAAACATTCTGCCCAGAACTACATATGACATCAGTACTCATGATGCTCCTCAGTACTGACCCTTTCAGATCCTTTCAGAATCTTACACAGCACAGAGAAGGATCATTAGACTCATTCCTGAGATGAAGGGCTTAGAAACATAGAAAATAGGAGCAGGAGTAGGCCATTCAGCCCTTCGAGCCTGCTCTACCCTTCAATATGATCATGGCTGATCATCCAACTCAGTCCCCTGTTCCTGCTTTCTCCCCCTTTCCCTTTGATCCCTTTCGCTGTAAAAACTATATGTAACTCCTTCATGAAAATATCCAATGTTTTGCCCCAACAGCTCTCTGGGATAATAATTCCACAGGGTCAGCACTCTTCTGAGTGACAAGATTTCTTCTCACCTCAGCCCTAAATGGCTTACACCTACATCTTTGGATAATATTTAAAAGGCACTTAGATAAGTACATAAAAAGAAAAGGTTTGGAGGGATATGGACCAGGAGCGGGCAGGTGGGACTAGTTTAGTTTGGGATTATGGTCAGCATGGACTGGTTGGACAGAAGGGTCTGTTTCATGGAGCTGTATGGCTCCATGACTCTTGGTCATAACCAGATGAACCATGACCTTCCTGAAAAGAGGAGCAAGTTCAAAGTTCCAAACTGCCTACTCTTTTCCCATGTTCCACGTTCCTGTGTTCAGAATTTTGGTGGTGCCATTTAAATATTGCTGGTGTTGCTGGTGTTCAAGTATGTACGGCATCCTGCTGGTGTCAAGGGGTACAATGTGCAACGTGGCCATATTCCTTGCCATTCTTTGACTGCACAATGATCTTCCAAAGCCCACGTCCCTTTAATGTCAGTCAGATTTAAGAGTTGTCAATCCTTTAGCATTGCCCTGGGATCTGAATGAATTAAAGGCCACGCCATGGCTACAAGCTATTTTCCACGAGTTCAAACAACTTGCCGTAATACTGGTCTCAAGGGAAAGATTGGCCATTTGCGAATTTGCTAAAATGCAAATGTCGGGATTATGGGATAGATATTAGGCCAACTCGAGACACTTAAAAATGACGGGTAGGACCTGGTTGCAGGAGACCTTTTGATGGTTGCTGGCAGATCCCAATTTTTCCAGCAGGAAAAGGGAGCAAGGTGTGAATTGTATAGTTAGGAAACCTTAACTCAGCAGGATCATTTGAAATTAGTGCTGAGTTCAAACAGACTCTATTTCACCTTTCCCAAAATCCTGAACCTGCATTATGGGAGCCTGAATTTATAACATGGTCATATATGCTTGTGAAGGGAAAATAAGTTCTATTTAGATGTCACGATCTGGAATTTTTAAAATATCCAGATTTTTGACTACAATAATAAGAAAGTGCTGTTAAAAAAACAACTTCTGTTTCAATTGATTGACAAACTGGTGGATATTAGGGAAAAAAAAAAATCTGGTTCTTCAGTTTCAATGGAGTTCATTGTTATGTGATGAGGAGTGCCTTTAAGAGAGGTTTGTCTGTCCTGTTTCTCTTCTAGAGGCATGTTGTAAACCTAGTGCCCAAGTACCTACTCCATGGAAAGCAGAGTAAATAGCTTTGGGTATTTTTTCAAAATAGAAGCATGAGTGGGTGGAGTCAGGCTCACACAGACACAGGGTTTTAATTTTGCTTTCAGCTGTTGAAGTTGGGGTTTTTGGAGTTGAAGATGCTAGCTGGAGTCTATCTCTGCTGCTGCAAAGTAGTGGAGTTCATGTTTCTGCTGCTAAATTCATTCTTTCAGTTTTTCCTCCTGGACTGGAGGTAGCACATGAGCGAAAGGTGTGTTTATGGGATGTTGCTATATTGGAACAGATGATGAGTAGTTAATTAAATAATATATCATTTTGTTAAGTATTTTAATACAGTAAAAGTTATGCATTTTTTCATATTTTAACTGTGGTTTAAGAATAAAGTGTGTTTTACTTAAAAGCCTAGTAGTTTGGCCAATCAATTCACATCCAGAAAGCACTGCCTTACAGTTGCCTTCAAAGAAGATAAAAGTTAGATCTAGGCTATCTCCTTGATATGTTTTGGAAAGGTTTTAGTCTGGTTCATATCTGTTGATATTTCCCAAAGGCTGTTATTAGAACTGAGGTCAGGCTGAATGCTTGGCTGGGTTTCAAAATTCCTCAAATTACAAATGCTTGGCTAAGTTACAAACACTACAAAAGCACTTAACTTAGTAGAGTGAGGCTGAGCTTACATTTTATTGACAGTTAAAATCATCTATTCAAGGAACAGTTGTGTTTGACATTGTCAATGGATCAATCTTTGTTTTTATAACAGAATGAACACTGGAAAGGATTGTAAAGCTTTGAAATGTTTACGAATGGGAGATATTTTAGTATTAAGTACTAAGACTTGCATTAGATTAGTAGAAGTTTATTGTGCATATCCACACAGCTCCTGAGGTCAGGAGTGATACTGGATGGAGACTAGGTAATGATGCTCGCTTGAAGAACCAGGGGCCAGTGGTTCCTTATGCATCATAACGCTTCTGTGATTCTTTGAGTGGGATCACTATGTCAAAGGGTAAGGTGTACGTGGGCTATGAGGTGGCATAGAGTGGATTTGCAAATATGAGGGAGCCAGGGGGAGCTGGTTGGAAAGGTAAGTGGAAATAGAGGTTGATGATTGGAGGGCTAAATGACCTTAGTTCCAGAAAAATGAGTTGGGCCTTTGAACTAACTCAGCTCAGCACCTGTTTTCTCCTGTAGCAATTGCAATATGCTTCTAGGGTTGACTTTGACTGGCCCTCATGCCTTGGAAGAGCCAAAATCATCTTCTCTTCCTAATTCACTCACAGGATGTGGGCGCTGCTCGTTAGGCCAGCATTTACAGTCATAAAGCTGTACAGCACGGAAACAGACCCTTCAGTCCAACCTGTCCGTGCCGACCATATGCCTTAAATTAATCTAGTCCCATTTGCCCGCATTTGGCCCACACTCTTCTAAACCCTTCCTATTCATGTACCCATCCAGTTGCCTTTAAAATGTTGGAATTGTACCAGCCTCCACCACTTCCCCTGGCAGCTCATTCCATACACGCACCACCCTCTGTGTGAAAAAGTTGCCCCTTAGGTCCCTTTTAAATCTCTCTCCTCTCACCTTAAACCTATGCCCTCTAGTTTTGGGCGCTGCTACCCTGGGGAAAAGACCATGTCTATTTACCCTATCTATGCCACTCATGATTTTATAAACCTTTATAAGGTCACTCCTCAGCCTCCGACACTCCAGGGAAAATAGCCCCAGGCTATTCAGCCTCTCCCTATAGCTCAAACCCTCCAACCCTGGCAACATCCTTGTAAATCTTTTCTGAACTCTTTCAAGTTTCACAATATCCTTCCTACAGCAGGGAGACTGGAACTGAACACAATATTCCAAAAGTGGCCTAAACAGTGTCCTGTACAGCCAAAACATGACATCCCAACTTCTATTATTGACCATTCCTAATTACCCAAAGGACAGTTTAGAGTCAAACACATTGCTGTGGGTCTATAGTTGCATGTAGGCCCAACCAGGTAAGGATGGCAGTTTCCTTCCCTGAAGAACATTTGTGAACCAGGTGTATATTTTGTGACAACTGACAATGGTTTCATGGTTGCCAAAAAAGCCAGTATCTTATTCCAGATTTTCCAAAAATTGAATTCAAATTTTTAATCGGGTCCCTATAGATTGAGATTGGTCCCGATTTGAGTTGTCTGCTCCAATAGTGTGAAGATCAACTCCTATAACTTCAGGAAATTCAGAGGCTTCTCACCCCAAAGTAACCATCCTTTGTAAGGAAGACCTGACAGTAGAAGTGAAGAAAGTAGCAATAGATACTCACACGGTCGGAATGTACTCCTCAGGGAAGTCGTTGGTTGTGTAAGTGATGAGGAGGCAGGTTTTCCCAACAGCTCTGTGGAAAGACAGGATTCCAATTTGTTGTCAGTCTCTCTCTTGGCAGTTAACCATTGGGTGTGGCAGCAACACAACTGGAGTGTCAACAATCAGAATGACCAATGCTCAACATCCCCTCTTTATATGTGTGCTCTTCTCCCCAGTACCTGCTGCCTAACATATGCGCCATCATTTACAATTTATAACCGTAAGGCCATAAGAAATAGGAATAACAGAAGGCCATTCGGCCCCTCAAGCCTGCTCTGCCTTTCAATGGCTGATCCAACATTCTTCATGTTCATTTTCCAGCACTCTCCCCATTAACCTTAATTCCTCAAATCCTTCCTACTTTGCAAAACACCCCAAAATTACTACTCGGGAGTGATTATCAAACAAATATTTGAACACCAAATGACTGGAGTTGATTTTGGTTAGGTGGCTGAGACCTTAATCGATGAGGTGGGTCTATTGAAGAGTAAAAGGTTCAGGCAAAGAATCCCAGAGTTTAGCGTTCACCTGAAAGTAAGGATATCAACGTTCAGTCATTAAAATTGGGGGCTTATTGCAGGAGGACAGCATGAAAGGAGCGCAGAAATCTCAGGGGGTTTTAAGGCCACAAAAGATTTCAGATCTAGGAAGGGGTAGCGCGATGGATCCCAACTTGTCTCTCCCTCTTCTCTTTCTGATAACTCCTTAAAAGACCAGTTCTTTGAGCCTGGCTCACCTTATCCACCAGCCTTCAAAATACCTTCTGATCGAATCCCTTCACCCCTTCACACACACATAGGAACAGGGGCAGGCCATTCAGTCCATCTAGCCTGCCCCATTATTCATAGCAATTATGGCTGATCGAACGTTTCAATGCCTTTTATCCACCCCACCTCCCAAACCCTGTACTCCATTGGGAATCAGAAATTTATCAATCTCTAATTTCATGAGTAGTCCTACACACCTGCACGTTGTTGGAAAACGCTGCCTGAAAGGTCAGTGGTAGTGGTTTCAATTTTGAAAGGGAATCACCGAAACACTTGAAAAGGGAAAGGGTGTCAGATTAATTGAGCTGGCACAGGCACAATGGGCTAAATGATCTCCTTTTGTCCTGTACAATGCCATGATTGTGTTGCGATCAGCAGTTAATAATCTGTGAGATATGAATTACAGAATGCTTGAGCATCAGTTTCTATGCTTTGTGAAGGCATATTCTATATCTTATTTTTGCTTTGGTATGACTTATTACTGTCACCAAGGTACAGCGAAAAGGCTCTTGTGTGCTTTACAAACAGATTGTATTATACAAGTACAGCAGGGTAACAGAACAGAGAGCACGATACAGTGTGACAGCTGCTGAGAAGGTGAAGAGAGAGATGAACGTTAACGTTAAAGAGGTCCATTCAAAAGTCTGATAACAGCGGGGAAGAAGCTGTTCTTGAATCCGTTCGTACATATTTTCAAATTTTTCTATCTTCTGCCCGATGGAATAGGGTGGAAGAGAGTATAACCATGGTGGGAGGGGTCTGTGATGATGTTGGCTCCTTTTTCATGGCTGCAGGAAGTATGGATGGAGTCAATGGGTGGAAGGCTGGTTTGTGTGATGGACTGGGCTGTGTTCACAACTCTCTGTAGTTTCTTGCGGTCTTAGGCAGAGCAGTTACCATACCACAGTGTGATGCATCCAGATAGGATACTTTCTATGGTGCATCTATAAAAATTGGTAAGAGTTATTGTGGATACACCGAACTTCTTTAGCTTTCTGAGGAATGAGAGGCATTGTTGTTCTTTCTTGACCATAGTCTTAACATGGGTGGACCAGGACGGATTGTTGGTGATCGTTACTCCCAGGAAGTTGACGCTGTTGACCACCTCCACCCCAGCACCATTGATACAGACAGGGGGGATTTCCTCCACACTGCTTTCTGAGGTCAATAAGCACTTCCTTCATTTCGCTGAGGTCGATGGAGAGATTGTTGCCTTTACACCATGCCACTAAGCATTCAATCTCCTTCCTGTGCACCATCTTGTCATTGTTTGAGATCCAACTTACAATGCTGGTGTCGTCAGCAAATTTTGTAACTGGAGTTAGAGCTGAATGTGGCCACACAGTCGTGTGTGTATAAGGAGTATAGTACGGTGTTGAGTATGCAGCCTTGCGGGTCAACAGCGTTCAGGATTATTGTGGAGGAAGTGTTGTCGCTAATCCTTACTGATTGTGGTCTGTGGTTCAGGAATTCGAGGATCCAGTCGCAGAGCTGAGAGCAGAGTTGTAGGTCCTGGAGTTAGGAGACAAGTTTGTTTTGAATTATGGTGTTGAAGGCAGAGCTGTAATCAACAAGTAGGAGGCTGACATATGTAAGCTTGTTGTCCAGATGTTCCAGGGATGATTGTAGGGCCAGGGAGATAGTGCCTGCCATGGACCTGTTGCAAATTGCAAGGGATCAAGGCATTTTGGGAGGCTGCAGTTGATGTGAGCCAAGAGCAACCTCTTGAAGCACTTCATAATGACTGGGTGGTAGTCATTGAGGCACGCTGCATGATTTTTCTTTACCACTGGGACGATGGTGGTCTTCGTGAAGCAGCTGGGTACTTCAGATTGTAGTAAGGAGAGTTGAAGATGTTTGCGAATACTCCTGCCAACTGGTCCACACGACCGCGTACTGTATCCAGGCTGGCGGCTGCTTTCCATGCGCTCACCCTTAAGAAGGCCAATCAAAAGTCTGCAGCAGTGACTGAGGGTACAGACACTTATGAGGCCGTCGGGATAGATGATATCGTTCCGTTGACCTTCTGTTCAAAGAGAGCGTAGAATGCATCGAGCTCGTCAGACAGACGTGTATTGTAGCCTACAATTCAGTTCAACTTCACTTTGTAGCCCATTATGTCGTGTCATAAATGATGGGTGTCCCATGTGGTTAGTCTGGGTCTCAAGCTTAGTTTGGTATTGCATCTTGGTGTCTCTGATGGCCTTATGAAGGTCGTACCTGGATTTCCTGTGTAGGTCAGGGTCACCCGACTTGAACACCTCAGACCTGGGCTTCAGTGGGGAGTGGATCTCCCAGTTCATCCACAGTTTCCAGTTGGTGGAACATTCGGATTAACGTCTGCGGCATGCACTCATCTACACACTTACCCGATGAAGTAATGGTAGAGGTGTACTCCTTTAGGCTGAGTTCTTGAACAAGGACTAGTCCACCGACTTGAACAGCCTCATTGAAGCTCCTCTGTTTCCTCAGACCTCTCACTGGTGGCGAGCATAAGAAATAAGAGCAGTTCAGCCCTGTGAGACTGCTGTGCTGTTTATGATCATAAGCAGCGCTCCCAGAATAGGAAAAACTGGGAAAAAAAAACAGGACGCCAGCTAAGGTTGCCATTCCCATTGACTATCCAGGAACAGCTGTCTGTAAGGGTGTGGCTTCAAAGCAGGCTGAGAACAGGAGCTGCCAGACAACTGGGCTAAATAAATAACAACTTGCATACATATGACAATGCAGTGTGATGTGGTGTAATGGGGAGCGTCCTTACTGCTACTGCTAGAAATGTTGAGCTCAAGTCCCACGCATGGGTTGGTGGCCATGGGAATTGTGCTTACCATCGAAGGATAATCAGGTTCAATGCCAACCTACAAACATGTCAAACACACAAGCAGTGAAGTTTAGAGAAATTCCTGGTCATGTTCATTGAGTTTTGGAAAAGGACAATTGAGCTTCTACTGTGATGATCTGTGGCCGTACACCACAACACGCATGTAAAAACTGTGTGTAACCACAGCAACCTGGACTCTGAGAGAGCTGTAAGACAGCACTGCCAGCTTAAAAAACTACCTTTAATGT